GTGAAGGAGATGTGCAGCTCTCGCACTGAGAACTTGGAGATGACCTGACCCAGAGATTTGGGAAACAGCCTGTAGTGGGACACTGAAAAAAAAAGAGCACTGTTTAGTGTTTACAAAGTCAACCTGACCATGCAGGAACATATCGTGCTAGATCGTCACAAATAATTCAGTTTACAAATGGGATGTGAGGCTAGAAGTCACAAACCTAGACTTTAAATTAAAATTGGTATCGAGCCGATATTCAGATATTTAGATGGGAATTGGGCCGATATTCAGGATGATCAGCGAAACGTTTGACTGCCCGATCCGAAACTCAAAAATCTGATTTTTAAATAGTTCTATCTATGAAGACACCAATTCTAAAAAGCAATAAAATAATTAGCATTTCTCACAGTTTATGACCAATCTTCCATGTGAAATTTTATGACTCAAAGTTAAAAGGTTTGAAGTAAATAAAAACTCTGTTCGCTGATTCAAAGATGAATCACACAAAACTGGCTTTAGCAGGTCAGAGTTCAACATGAATAAGAAACTGGTATTGGCCCTCAAAACCTGAATCAGTGCATGTCTGGATCACAACGGTGAAGACCTTGCCAAAATGGAAACTTTGAAAAAGATTTCTAGATTTTGCTTACAGAACCTTCGGCTAAAGTGTGAATATTATAACTGTCAGTGCTGCAGCTTCACGGGACAACGTAAAAGCTGGGATCAGATCATTCAGGCAACACCGGATTCAAAACAAGCCACGCTTTTCAGATCAGGAACACCTGTCAAAAACTGGAAACACTTTTATTTATGTTTAAACTGAAGCAACGGCAACATGTTTTAACAGAGGACTGAGATCATGCGTGGTCTCCGAAAGACGCAAAAATCACGCACCTTTGTTTTCTCTCATGAAATCTGTTTCCCACAGGGTTCGAAACTGGAAGCTGGCATAAATATCCCCCGAGTGCAGCGGTCTAATGACCAGCTCCTCCTGAAAATCATCTTTAGGTTGCGGTGTAGGTGTCAAGACGAAAGTGTCTGAAGCACGAACGCCCAGTTTGTCTGCTGCAGAATCACCGAGTGCAGCTTCATCCACCTCGGTAGCTTCCCACCGGCCCTCCTCGGCTGTTTGTGTCGCTGATTCCGCGGCCGGCTGCGGATTATCAGCCGTGTTAGTATGTTGCTCATTGACTGGGGTCGTTTGTTGACTGTCTACAAATAAAAATACAGACAAAATAAAAATAAAAACTAGCAAATTCGAGCACCTGTTAACATAAGCTGCCATTTTTCGACAATAGTAGTTTACTTCCGTCTTTTGTGTTATGCACAAAACTAGCCAATAGGCTGCGTGCAACTAGAGTCACGTGACTATGGCAACTATCAAGAGCCAAAAGTAAGAATGCATTTGTTTATTTATTTTTAAGTACCATGAGTTGATCTAAATGTGAAATCTGAATATATGAATATTTGATAATAAAATTCATTAATGTAAAACAAATACATTTATTTCGTTTACAAAAATCAGTTATAAGCATTACCCGATTTATTAGTTACTGGCTTGGATTTTACTTTGAAATATTTTGCAGGAAGTGTATGTGAAAGCACAATGAATACCTACGGTAACGTATGTCCCTCTCCTTCTCCTTATATATATATATATATATATATATATATATATATATATATATAACTTATCTTGAGAGGCTCTATATAAAATGTTGTTTCTTCTTTTAAATGGTTAAAATAACAAAAGTGTATTTCCAACTTTTTGATACTGGTGGGCGACAACTCTCAACTCCCATTATCTAAATGGATTACCTAAACAGAGTGTTATTCTAACTTCTAGCCACTGGAGAGTGCAAATAACATTAAGGCAATAAAACAGTTTGTAGCTAGCTGTAATGCACTTTGACTCCACACAATCATTGTGTTTAACACTATTGCCTAAAAACTGTTTTAGGGGTATTTTTTGCTAAATACTGAAAAAAGGCCTGTTGGAGCCAATTCCCCTACCAGCGTCAAAATGGCTTAGTGTTTTATTTTGAAAGAGTTTACAGGAATTGTTTCTAATAAGTAACTTTTGTAACTTTATAAATCAAGCTCCCTCTTCATTTTCTACACTTTCTCCTTCTTCTTTTATTAATTTTCTCAAAAGGACAAAAACAAATATTGGGATATATATAAGAATGTATAGAATGTATGTATATATATATATATATATATATATATATATATATATATATATATATATATATATATATATATATATATATATATCAGTTTCAATGAGATTAGTAGGCTAAAATGTTCTTTTGTAAGTGGGTAACAGAACAAGTGTAGTTCCAGGCTTCCAGCTTTTTGAGATGTATTCTAAAACAAACAATATATGAGCACACAAAAAATAATTCAGTGAAGATTAGAAAAGAAGAATGTATGAAAAACAAAATAAAAGATAGCCAAAGGATTGATAAAACTATGCCTAAGAATTAAAAACTATAAAAGCAGTAAACTTTTTCATTTTTATGGACAATTAAACAACTTAAGATTTGTTTCTGGCTGGCCTCCATTCAGCAGTTATTTTTTCTAGGTCTGGCATTGAAACAAATTCTGCAGCTGATCCATTACCACATTTAAAAAAATTTTGTGAATTAAATGGGGCATATAATGCAAAACTCACCTTCTAGTCTGAATTCATTTGTGCTGCCATGTGATCCCCACCTCTGTCAGGGTGTCCCAGGGTAGCTATTCACCACCAGCGTGTTAAATAGTGTGTGAGTCGATGAATGGGTCACTAGTGTAAAGCACTTTGGAGTCCTCTGACTCAGAAAAGCTAACCCAATCTAAACTGCTGAGCTTGACGTGTTCTGGAAGTGTAGCATGTAAAATACAGATCTGAAGCAAAAAGCAATATGTACGCTTCTGGGGCGTGTCCAAAATGAAACAATTTGCGACTGGTGGGAATGCTTCCATCCACTATAGCTAATTTCTGCTTACTATGCTTTGCAACCGTTACATGATGCTTACCTCTTCTATCCACTGGACGTGAAGTAATACCAGCATTTTACCTGCAAGCTCCCTTCCAACCAGGGGTGTTACAGACGCAAAACGGGAGTGAAAGTGTTCCACGCCTCTGGTCCCTCAAAGTCACAAAATCATGGAATAGCAACGCCATGCATGATTTCAGATGTCCAGACAATAAAAAGCAAGAAGAAAGACAATATGTATCCAAAAAGAGCCGTGGTTTATTTTCTATAAATCGGCTATGGGGGTTTCACTGGAAATGACATACGCTTATCTGCATATGGCTCTTATTTTGAAATGGTCCAGAGGTTTTACACTATTTTTGTGTTTGACTTCCTGTTTGCCCTGATCTAAACTGTAGTTTGACGTGTTTTGGAAGTGTAATGCATAGAACATAGACTTGAAACACAATGATAGCATCCCTTTGCAAAATGTTGCATTTTGCTGCTGGTGAAAAGGAACCTGTCCACTCTTCTTACGGCTCTTGGAGGGTACAGACACTTTTTTTCCTCCTCTCCTCTCTATCTTATCCCAAGGCTCTTTGTCTATCTCTGGGTGTACGGCTGCTTCTGCATTTTTTCTGGAAACTGGAAACTGAAAGTACTAAAATGGACCTGGTCAGTTGGTCACTTAACGCGACTGACACAATTTTTTCAGCAATGAGAACGGGAGAAGGGGCTCCCGGGTGCCCCTCTGGGACAGAGCCAGCTGGGCATATCATGGACTCCTGGAAACAGTGGAACCTGATTTGCCTATCTCAGCTGTCTGTAGAGGATTCTGAAGACGTCTGGATATTTGTGGTGTTGGTGTCAGGTTTCCTGCTCTTTGGCCTAGGAGGCTTCCTGACTTACCGGAAAATTAATGAGCTGTCGAGGAATATTGGCGCTCTCCCCGAGCTCAGGGATGGATTACACCGCACTGTGAATTCACAGACTCACATAATTGTCGAGATGAGTCGTAAGCTTGGAACTTTGGCTGAGATTCATGCGTTGGTACAAAAGATGGATGCCATCAAGGAGAGAGTGGACGAATCAGCACGGATTGGGGTGGATTAATTTACGCCATTATTGGGATTTTGAGAGGTTGAGGACCAACGGAAATTTAAGACAGAGAGGAAGTTATCTCTGTCTGGCCCCAAAACAATTTCTAATCTGAATCTGGTGACCGTGAGCCTGTGAGGCTGCAACGAATACTCCTGCCTTAGAAGAAATGTGGAATGCTGCCGTCGCAATGGCAACTCTGTCTCCCTATCCCAGCCTGGGCGGGACTGCGGGCTGTGAAGGCCACCGAATCGTTCCAGGAGTCACTGTGCCCTCCAAACCCCAACGACCTCCCTCCCCTGTCCAGACTGAGGTGGCTGCAGGCACTGACGTGTGGAGAGTCCCAAACCCACCACCCCCACCTAGTGGACACTTATGTTGTGTTATGTCTAAAGTCTGTTGCATTTCTGTCTGAGGTGGTTTTTTTTTCGTAGCAAAGCTGCCCTCCCTGTGGAGGGTAACTCTGAAGTGCCTTTTTTCCCTCCACCTGAACCATTCCTCATGTAACCCCTCTGATCTCTACTAAGGTAACGCGACTCAGGGTTGCGAATGACCACAGTCACCAATTCTTGTCATGTACTTTAATTCCCCTCTGGGATTAATAAAGTATCTTTGAACTGAATTTGAATTGAATTGAATTGAATTGAATTGAAATGGCGGTTAATTACTGAAAAGTCTTTTTAACAGCCATTTCACAATACTTTTACATCACATCCGATGGAAAGGAGGGATTAATCATCCAGTGGAAAGGCCCGGTTAGAGAGAGTTCCTGCTGGAGAAGCAGTGGCTCCACTCTGAGCCCTTTCCGGATATCAGATCTTCTCAGCTTAGGATGGACGGGCATTGCCAGCTCCAGCTTGTTTTCTTAAAGTGGCAGAGCTCGAAAACGGCTCATTATGGGAGATACTGAAACAGTTAAAACAAAACTACTGAAAAAGTCTTACGTGAAAGAGATTATAAGCAAATAAGTTTATCTATGATCAATTTTATTCATGAAAAAATTAATTCATGTAGACAGTAACATATCATTCATATAAATCCATATATTAGCCACATAAACTTTTGAACATTTCATAAATGAACAGGTTTAAGCAGAAGCAAAAGCTTATAATTTTGCCTAACCTATACTTATTATTATTAACTATACTTAATCAATTAATTCCCTCAATGTGACAATAATAGAATGTATAAACAAACACATCCACCAACTTCGAATTAATAGTAATCAAAAATATTTTTACTGATAAGGATACTCCTCCTTGAACTGTCCCCTTATCGTGGTGGAGGAGTTTGAGTGCCCTCATGAACCTTGGAGCTACGTTGTCTGGGGCACTTTGTGCCCCTGATAGGGTCTCCCATAACAACTTGGTCTTAGGTGAAGGGTGAGACAAAGAACGGTTCAGAGGATGTTTCATGGATGGACTATCAAGGAGTCGGAGTACCCCGCCCGGAGGGTTACCGGGGTCCCACCCTGGAGCCAGGCCTGGGGTTGGGGCCCGTGAGCGAGCGCCTGGTGGCCGGGCTTTCGCCCATGGGGCCTGGCCAGGCCCAGCCCGAACCAGATACATGGGCTCACCCAACTGTGGACCCACCACCTGCAGGAAGAACATGAAGGGTCCGGTGCAGTGGGGATCGGGTGGCAGATCGAGGTGGGAACCTTGGCGGTCCGATCCCCGGACAAGGAAACTGGTTTTTGGGACATGGAACGTCACCTCGCTGGCGGGGAAGGAGCAGGAGCTTGTGGCAGAGGTTGAGCGGTACCGGCTAGATATAGTTGGACTCACCTCGACACATTGCATTGGCTCTGGGACCCAAGTCCTTAAGAGGGGTTGGACACTCTCCTTTGCTCGAGTTGCTCCGGTTGAGAGGCGGAGGGCTGGGGTTGGCTTTTTGTTAGCCCCAAGACTCTCTGCCTGTGTGTTGGGGTTTACCCTGGGGGACGAGAGGGTAGCTTTCCTGCGCCTTCGGGTCAGGGAACTGATCCTGACTGTTGTTTGTGCTTATGGGCCAAATATCAGTTCAGAGTACCCACCCTTTTTGGGGTCCCTGGGACGAGTGCTAGATAGTGCTCCATCAGGGGACTCCATTGTCCTGCTGGGGGGACTTCAATGCTCACGTGGACAATGACAGCATGACCTGGAGGGGTGTGATTGGGAGGAACGGCCCGCCTGATCTGAACTCAAGTGGTGTTTTGTTATTGGACTGATTGAAGAACCTGTCAAGACGGTCTTCAACTCCCACCTCCGGCAGAGCTTTGACTGCATCCCGAGAGCAGTGGGGGACATTGACTCCGAGTGGGACTTGTTCCACTCTGCGATTGTTGAGGCGGCTGCTGCTAGCTGTAGTCGCAAGGTGGCCGGTGCCAGTCGTGGTGGCAACCCCCGTACCCGCTGGTGGACACCAGTGGTTCGGGGAGCCGTCAGGCTGAAGAAGGAGGCCTACAGGGTGTGGCTGGTCTGTGGGTCTCCGGAGGCAGCAGACAGGTACCGGATGGCAAAGCGGGGTGCAGCAGTGGCAGTTGCCGAGGCAAAATCTCGGGCGTGGGAGAAGTTTGGTGAGGCCATGGAGAAAGACTATCGATCGGCTCCAAAGAGGTTCTGGCAAACTGTCCGCCGCCTCAGGAGAGGGAGGCAGGAACTCGCTCACACTGTTTACAGTGGCGATTGGGAGCTGCTGATGTCAACTGGGGCTATAGTCGGGCCGTGGAAGGAATACTTTGAGGAGCTCCTCAATCGCACCTATGGGCATTCCAAGGAGGAACCAGAGCCGGGAGACCTGGGGATGGACCTTCCAATCTCGGGGGCAGAAGTTGCTGAGGTAGTCAAACAACTACACAGCGGCGGAGCCCCGGGGGCAGATGAGATTCATCCTGGGTATCTCAAGGCTATGGATGTTGTAGGGCTGTCGTGGTTGACATGTCTCTACAACATTGCGTGGTCATCGGGGGCAGTTCCTAGGAAGTGGCAGACCGGGGTGGTGGTCCCCATCTTTAAGAAGGGTGACCTGAGGGTGTGTTCCAACTATAGGGGGATCACACTCCTCAGCCTCCCTGGAAAGGTCTACTCCAAGGTACTGGAGAGAGAGATCCGATCGATAGTTGAATCTCAGATTCAGGAGGAGCAATGTGGTTTTCGTCCTGGCCGTGGAACTGTGGACCAGCTCTATACCCTTGCAAGGGTGATGGAGGGGGCATGGGAGTTTGCCCAACCAATCCACATGTGTTTTGTGGATTTGGAGAAGGCTTATGACCGTGTCCCCAGGGGCACCCTGTGGGCGACGCTCCAGGAGTATGGGGTGGGTGGCTTTCTGTTAAGGGCCATTCAATCCCTTTACCAGAGGAGCGTCAGTTTGGTCCTCATAGCCGGTAGTAAGTCTGACCTGTTCCCGGTGAGGGTTGGACTCCGCCAGGGCTGCCCTTTGTCACCGGTTCTGTTCATCACCTTTATGGACAGAATTTCTAGGTGTGGCCGTGGTGTGGAGTGTGTCGAGTTTGGTGGCAGGATAATCTCATCTCTGGTTTTTGCGGATGATGTGGTCCACCTAGCTTCATCCAGCTCTGACGTTCAGCTCTTGCTGGGTATAGGTTCGCGGCCGAGTGTGAAGCGGCTGGAATGAGGATCAGCACCTCCAAATCTGAGACCATGGTTCTCGACCGGAAAAGGGTGGCTTGCCAACTCCGGGTCGGGGGAGAGGTCCTACCTCAAGTGGAGGAGTTTAAGTATCTTGGGGTCTTGTTCATGAGTGAGGGTAGGAGGGATCGGGAGATCGACAGGCGGATTGGTTCGGCGTCTGCAGTGATGCGGACGCTGAACCGATCTGTCGTGGTGAAGAGGGAGCTGAGCCAGAAAGCCAGGCTCTCGATTTACCGGTTAATCTATACGTCCCAATCCTCACTTATGGTCATGAGCTTTTGGGTAATGACCGAAAGAACAAGATTGCGGATACAAGCGGCCAAAATGAGTTTTCTCCGTAGCCTTAGAGATAGGGTGAGGAGCTCGGACATTCGGGAGGGACCCGGAGTAGAACCGCTGCTCCTCCGGATTGAAAGGAGTCAGTTGAGGTGGTTTGGGCATCTGGTCAGGATGCCTCCTGGACGCCTCCCTGGGGAGGTGTTTTGGGTTTAGTTTAGTTGCTAAATTCTATTTTAGCCTCCAGAATGTTTCTCCAATTATAGATACAGCTCCTTTTAATACCTTTCTTAGCGTTCTGTACAATAAACATACATCCACCTCTTGAATCATAATTACTCTCCCTCTTTGTAAAAAACATTTGTACTTCCATTTAGCTGTGGACATAATTTGCATAATTTTATAATAGAATAGATCCTCAATTTCCATAATCTGTGATTTTGAAAGCAATACACTACCAATACCATAGTATTTTTACGACTTAATTTGCCCCTTTAAAATGTAATTATCCCAATAACAAATTATGAAATCAGATCGTGATTGTAGCACACTCAACAAATTCTACATTGCATGAAATTGTATTGTGTCGCTGGACAGGGGTGGGCATCATCAGCAGCAGCAGCAGCAGCAACCCGCTGGTACCATCGGGGGCATCTCACCCCCTCCCATTTGCACTCATCGTCGCGCATAGCCCAGACACACACACGCGCGCGCGCGCGCGCTAGTGCTGAATTTGAGCTCAGCCATGGCTCCCTGTTAGATGCTCAAAGCGGCTGTTGTCAGAATGAATTAAATCCAGCTTCGCGCGCTGCTTTCATCATCCTGACCTTGCCTCCCTCCGGTTGGGTTTTCAATATTTTATTCAGGATTCCTGCGCTGTCTCTCCATGGCTACATCGGATGGACTAGACGGCTGTCTGCAACGAGGCAGATCTCAAAGTGACCCGAACATACTCACCGAACCGGGCATAGATTTGGCGCACGGCACAGGTAGGATGAACGTGGTGTTTTTCATGATTTTATTGCAAATACGAATATTTTTATTTACGTATGTTTATGGTGGAGACGATGCACGCTGGGATGTCAGAGTACCAGGGACAATTAGCGCACACGCTCCGAACACACTTTGTGCCGAATATTGACTGGAACCGCGAATCATGGAGCTGCAAATTGAAAATTAATGTTGCACATCTGCGCGTGTGAACGGCCGCACGCCTTTCCACATTTGCGTATAAAGACGCCTGTAGCACCGAGGGCTGATGTGGAAGCATGTCGGCTTTTATTATCGTCATTATTATTATTATTTAGACCGTTGTTATTGTTATATCGACGCGTGCAGCTTCTACTTTATTCACTGATTTGTGTTTGCAGCCAGCTTCCGGAGGCAACATGCATCTAGCATCACAAAATCCGCATGCATGTGTGTGGTCCATGAGATGCCCGCCCGGCTATTTGTTGTTTGAGGGTGCATATATGTGCTATTGCCCTGCCATCGCTGAAGGGGGCAGATCAGTCATAATTTGTTGGTTTTATCGTCGCATTTATGTTAAATAATTGTGCACATGCCGTGTTAGGATGCTTAAACCTCACCCCCTGCATCATGACAGCCCCCCCTGATGACCGGATGTGATCAATGACTGGCCATCCACATGATGGAGATATCCCCAACTCAGCACAGCCTTGTGTTCAGAATAATAACATTTCATGGATTCTGCCGGTGTTTCTTCCAACATGGACCTCTCTCTGGTCTGCTCATCTTCTGTGAACATAATGAAATGATCTTTCATTAATAGCAGAACACCAGAGAGCATGGCCTGCTCTCTAACTCCTTCACATCCTCATGGCTCTTTCTGTATCATGTATTTTTTTAATGTGTCTGTACACTTCCACTGATCATTGATTTTTACGTAAGCGGGGCTATTTATGATCACATTGTGTGGGCTTGGAAAGACTCATTGCTTCCTCCCACACATGGTGAGTTTTACGCACATGGAGAATGCTTGAGTGAATGATTCAGAAGAAGAAAAAATTCATGCATGTACGTCGCTCACCTTTCAGCTCCTCACTAACAAGGGCCGTTTATTTGCCTGCACTCATCGGCTTGCCATAGCACATTTTCAACGAAGCCCTGCATGGACTCAGCCCTCCCAAGGATAGTTTAATTCACACACAGGTGAATGTGATGATGTCACACTGGGTCTTTGACACACCTGAACAAACAATACAGCGTTTTGGCAGATCCGCCACGAGTGAGGAGAGCTGAGAAAATCAACGTCCTGTTCCGTCGATGATGTGAGCAGCAAATGAAAGAGAGAAAATTACATTGTCACCACGAGGACAATGTCAGTGTCTGGTGATCCAAAGTACACAACACTGCCCAGCCCTTCCTTCTCTCTCTTTCTGTAACTCATTACTGCACCAATGTCTGGGGCACCAGTCTTTGCCAAAGTAATCCTTTGGCAAAGAGAGCCTTTTTCTCCCCAGTGGCTTAATACAGCTGCAGAGGCTGACACTGTATTCATCCATTGACTCATCACTAAAGAGTCAATGGAGACAACAGTAACAGCTGAATAACTCTGAGAATCAGAAAAATGTTTTGAAGAAAAGCAACAAGAGGATCAAGCTTCCACATTTCCACTCATATCTTTATGTTTATGAATGACTTACAATGACATTTTAAATTATTCAAAGTGAGACAGGCTCATTAGATTGCAGATTTACCTCAAACTAACCATGAATATAAGCACAGAAATTTATTAACTTGTGTATGCAGTTCATTTAGCCAAGCACATCTTGGATTCACCAGCTAATAAAATGTCACTTTCACTCAACGCTTCACGTACTCAATGCGGAGTGTAGACCAAGGTAATGTGTGGAGAGGACACCTTGAAGGTTTGCAGAGAGGAAGCCTGTCCAGGGAGAACACTTCTCGTGGTTTGTTTACATTAAGAAACTCTTCTGTCCCACAGAAACACTAAACTCTGGAGCTTTAAATGTGAACAGAGTTTGACTTATCATTTGTCAAGATGTTGGTTTAAATTCTAAGTCATCTAAGACGTGGCAGTTCTGAGAGGCTGCCCATTTATTCAGTCATACAAACCATTCTGGATTTCTTGTCTTGTTGGCAGGTGATAACTTTTTGTATTTCACTGGTGGGCCTCATGTAGAATACATATGGGCAAATAGTATGGGTTCCAATGGGTTTTCTCTTTGGTTTCTATGGTGGTCCCACAGGGGTTTGCCCACATACATTTTAATGGGCCCTACATAGGTTTTCAGAGGATCCCAGATGGTATGATTCCTACACTGGCCCGGTAAAATCTGTGGGAAAAACCCCTGTGGGTCCACCATGGAAACCATGGACAAAACCTGGCGGGACCCATGCTGTCTGCCTATAAATGGGGCCCACCTATGCTGGCCAAGAGTGTCTGTGTTTGTATGTGTTCATTTTCTGTAGTGCAAGAAATATATCTACAGAAGTACTGGACTATTTTTAATATAATACTTAGAATGTAATCCTTGTAATCCTTCAACCTGATCCAAGATGGCCACACAGTCCTGCTGGAAAAATCAGTATAGTTGGTTACCAGCATGCTGTTTTTGGTGTTGGCATGTTGGTCCAGTGATGCTGGCGATTTGCTGAACCAGCATCCCATCCTGGACCAGAATGCGATGCCGGTCCAGAATAGGATGCTGGTTCAACATCACATCACCAGCATTGCATGCTGGTCCAGTATGCAGTGCTGGTCCACCAGCTAACACAGCATGCTAGTGACCAATAATACTGTTCTATGCTGTTTTTTCCCAGCAGGGAAACAATAGCAAACATAAAAACGACTGTAACTCAGCCAGTTTTGCAAATATTAAAGATCAAGTTCACTTGTTTTTATTTATCACACCTGCAATGGTCTCTCACATAAATGAACGCCTCAAGTGTCAATCTGTGTAGATAAAAAGCTCTGGTGCTCCTGTTTCGGGAACTAGAAGTGAGCCAGAAGCACGGGGGAGCAGAACACTGCAGGTTTGGGAGTCTTATTTCCTGTTATTCAGAAAACTTGCCTCTGATTGGCTAACAGCTACATGACTTTACCACTGACCTAATTTGTTTTGCAGCATTGATGTTGCTAATGCTAACAGTTAGCTTCTACTAGCAGAGACACGCTCCTGGAAGCTAAGTCAACACAGCTGTCTCTTGTCGCGAGCCAAGACGTGTGAGACATTTTCAATGTGACGTGGCATTGACTGGCTAATGCAGGAAATAGGGTTTGGAGACTATTTTCATGTTTAGGCTGCATGTTAAACTCAGTGTGACCGATCATATTTAAAAAATAACAAGTGAATAACAGTTTCTCAGTGAACTTGGTCTTTAAGCTATAATTTGGTCTAGTAATTGAGTCCAGTTAAACATACCATGAGAACTATGGTATGGGGCGTCAGTGACACAGGAGTTAAGTGCTCGCCCCATAATTGGAAGGTTGCAGATTCGAGCCCCGCTCAGTCTGTCGCTGTCGTTATGTCCTTGGGCAAGACACTTAACCCACGTTGCGTGTTGGTGGTGGTCGAAGGGACCGGTGGCACCAGTCCTCGGCAGCCTCGACTCTGTCAGTGCGCCCCAGGGCAGCTGTGGCTACATTGTAGTTCATACCCACCAGTGTGTGAATGTGTGTGTGTGTGTGAATGGGTGAATGACTGATTGTGTTGTAAAGCGCCTTGAGGGGTTCCAGGACTCTAGAAGGCGCTATATCAAATACAGGCCATTTACTATTTACCATTTAACTACCACTGTACAAATGAAATATTTGGCATTAACCATCATACCTCATAAACCACTGCTGGATAATGAAGCCCATAAGGTAAATAGTGGGTGGGGGCTACATCTACCACTGATTCATTTTTGAAGTCAACCTGATTCAAGACGGCCAATAAACCGTAACACTTGCAAAAATGGCTATAACTCAATCAATTAAAAATAGTCCAGATGCCTCAAGGAGAAAACGATCCTAGAAATTATTTACCTGAACAAGAAGTCCAGAAATGCCAGCACTAATTTAATAAAACTGCACAAAAGAGATTTAAGTACATCCTAGGTACCTATAATGTGGCATAAATGATTTTCTTTGCCAAAGTAAGCCTAGACCACCAGTTTCATGCATAGAAGCTTTTATCCTCTTTAATAAGGCTAATTACATTGTTTGATTACATAATTATTTTTTAATGAATGAGCTCAAAATGCTAATGGATAACTACTTCTTGTGAAAATCCCACATGAAAAATGCTGCTTTCGGTTTCATCACTTTCTACCCCACTAAGGAGGATGAGGGTAGAGGGAGGACTACTATGCAGAATCTTGACAAGCTGTTAGACACTCTCTAACCTATACCTGACACACTCACTGATAAATGTTTAATAGGTCTCATCCTCCTCTTCTGGTGGCGCTGACATCAGGATTATCCTCCCAGATCCGACAAAGGAACCTCAGACAATTTCAGGCTTAAAAGGATCCTTGATAACCAACAAGATGTGACGAAACTGATATCAGTTCACTCCAAACACCACCGATTTATTCAGCATAGGACTTGATGAGTTAGTATGAGTCAGCAGGTCTCATAAAACATGGCTCCCATTTAACAAATGTAGACACTTTTTATTTATTTATTTATTTAACCTCTTATTTAACCAGACGAGTCGATTGAGAACTCATTCTCATTTACGACGATCTGCCCAAGAGGCAGCAGCAACAGACACAAAGTTAGCTTTACATAAAGAAAAGCAGATAAGATAACAACATGCAAGATAAAAATAAGATGAAACAATTAGACATAAAGATAAAAGATTGTTCTCATTTACAAAATGTACAAGCAATCAAAACAGACTTAAAACAATCTTTAAGTTCTCAGAAGCAGGCCCACTGATCAGAAACTATTGATTGCAATGAATTATTGAAGATAGACTATGGAATGTAGGTAGTGAGCTTCAGTGATTTTTGCAGC